CTCATTTTTTCTGGGGTTATCAACTTCTTCTTTATTCCTTCCTCATATTTTCTTTGTCTTGTATAGCTGCTTCATCCTGTTCACATAATAAGCTACTTGCTGGCTCCTCAATCGTCTCAGCTGCGAGAAGCAGCTCTGGGTGAAGATTCCTTGTTGGTTATTCAATGTGATTTTTAAAAGAAAACCTATGATCCATAACAACCCCGAGGTCTTTGATGATATTAAGTTTTTCCATGACTACAAATTTAAGTTGATAGTTAAAATTAATTGTTTTATGTATTCAATAAAAAGTCATGATATTACACTTACTTATTATATTCAACAGCATTTCATTCAAATTGCACCAGCGAATAAAATTATTTATGTCTTCTTGAAGTTTATCACAGTGAGTTGGATGTGTAACTATTTTGATAATTTTCAGGTCATCAGCATACAGTAGAAAATCACAATTTCTTACAAAATCAGACACATCATTTATAAAACAATTAAACAGGATCGGAGATAAGTGGCTCCCGTGAGGGAGACCTGATGCCATTGTTATCTCAGATGACCATTTTTTTTACTACTTGCTTTCTCCCCGTTAAGCACTTTCTTATCCAAGCCAGCAAGGATTCAGAAACAACCAAAATGTTCAGTTTGATAAGCATTATATTATGATTTGGCCTGTCAAATGCCCTTGAAAAATCAGTATACAAGACATCCACCTGATATTGATTCTCAAATGCCTCTAGCAGACCTTGCTGATACTCTAGATTCTAGCAAGTTGGTGATAGTTGACTTCCCTTTTATGAATCCGTGCTAAGATGGAACAATCAGATTTGAAACTTGTATAGTAAGATTCCAATTGACTAAATATTCAAAAATTTTAGATTTTCTACTTGGTTTCGGTTCCGTCTTTTGAAAATTGAGGAGATATTCCCCAATATCTGGAAAGATAGCATTATTTAATGATTTCAAGAAAAGTTGTGTAATTAGATAAAATGTACTTTGTATTTTTTCAAAACACCACGGGTATGCAATCAGACCCACACCCTAGGTTATTGTTTAAAACGATATAAAATTAACAACATCTAGACATTAATATAACAGTTGTGCATATCAGTCTTTGAGAAATGGCTGAAACTTACTTCTGCATTATCTATATTATCTACATACACAGTTGTGGAATGTTCTGAGAGCAAATTGGCTATTTCACCCATGGAACCACAAACTGTATCCTTAAAGCACATAGAATGTTACCTCTTTTTGAATTAAGAAACCTCCAAAATTCCCTCTTGTTACAAATGCTTTCCTAAAGATTTTTAATACATATTTTATATTAACCATAACAGGTAGGTGGATAGCTTTTACATTCATCACGCAATTATGAAATATGAGCATAGTCTTCATATGATGAAGTAGCTTTATCTTTTATGAGCTCTTCTTTAGCAATTGAAAGTTCCTGGAATTTATTATCATACCATCTGGCAATTTTAGTATTTTGCGTTTTTTAGGAACATTTATCAATAACTGTATAAAGTATATCATAAAATGCAATAACTTCCTCATAAAAATAGCTAATATTCAAAATTTTATTCCAATTAGTATATGACAGATGCATATTGATATGTATATGATTAGACGATTTAAAGCTGTAGTATTCATACTCAAAATTTTATCTTTTCACATATGATGATCGTATGACATACTAACTACGCTAAGACAGTTTGAAGCATAATAATTGTGAGTTCAGTTTGCGTGATATCTTTATAAGCAGAACAATGCATTTTACTATGAAATAACTTTTACATTGGCTGCAGATCAATCAGATAAAAGCAACATGACTTTAGTAAAGGTTTTCTAGATTTCGAGATATTGACACTTCAAAGCTTTTTCAAAAAATCCTTAATTTTTGCTCCTTTTTTTTACTGTTTTGGCTGGAAAGAACTTCTAACTTATGTCTTTTCCTCGTCTACCATTAATAGTTTTTTGAGACAAACGAGTATTCATTTCATTGAAAACTAGCACGGTATGGTAAACAAAATTAAATTATTACATTTTGTTTCAATATGAAAACCCTTACTAAAGTTTGACTAATTACTGTGAAAAAAGAATGTACCAGACTTAATCGGCAAATGATCTTAAAAACTAAAACTTCCTTAGATTTTTTACCCATTCTTTTGTAAATTGGGCCTGTTAAGATAATAATAATCATTTATTTCAGGCAGTATTTACATTAAAAGATGTTCATTTAATATCCATTTATGTTAGTTAGGTTAAGATGTTAATAATGATTCCTAATTCTTTGTTTGATTTGAATGTTGTAAAAATCTATGAAAATAAAAAAATACAATCCAATGTTCTGTTTATTATTTTGATGCCTATATGCAACGATGAATATACAAAGGATAATGGATAGCTGTTTTAGTGCTAAAAGAAGCTATTATAGCACCTACAAAGTTGTAATTTGGACACAAAAAACAGCTGCACTTATTATTTTTTAATTGTATTATTTCGCAAATATTACAACTTCAATGACAGCAGTTGGAATCATTCAGTTTTTAGTAAAAAGAATCTACAAATGTTACACTATTCTTGAAAGGGCATTAAATAGCTAGTTTTCAAAGTGATTTGCTGATTCAGTCTGGTATATTTTTTTCACAGTAATTAGTCAATACTTTAATAAATATTTCGCATTGAGACCAAATGTCGGCTGTCACCAGCACCGACTAGGAAGACCAGCGAGGGCAAGCAAAGCAAACTTAATCTCCTTCGGGGGAATAAAGTTAGTAGAAATATGACAAAAACTGGTGCCATCTACTACCAGAATCAATCTTTGAGGAGTGATGGTTTGAACTATAAATGTGCCTCTTTTGAGTTAAAGATGTTTATTTTTCTGCTATTTTGGTCATCACAATGGCAGTCACCTTCACCAAAGGTTAAAGTACTTGGAATCCAATTTTAACTACATCAAAAACTCAATACAGTACGAGAGATGGCTTATCTTGAAAGTTTGATAGTACATGACTTGAACGCCTGTTCCCTTGCCGTTTAACAGGTATTAGGCCATGTCTTCCGGTAGGATGCCTCAAACTGAGTTTTCCTACATATGATATGTACTGCTATACAGGTGGTCCTTAATTATTATTTGCCTCGACAAGTTCAAGAGATATATTGAGGTCTGGTTCTCCAACTGACACTGGTGGTTTAACTGAATTCCGCTGCATTCAGGCTATCAAATTTTCTAAAGATCAGCTCCTTCTTGCCCCATTGGAAAATACTTTGCTTTTTTACTGTAGGTTGTCATTTTGTCGCCAGTTTTTTTCTTTACACAAATGTATAAACGGTGCTTGTTTAAGGAATTTACAGTATTCGATATTGGTTTCCTATAATCCAACTTCAATTTCGTTTTTGGTTTCTCCCATGCTTCGATTTCAATTTCAGAATCTTCACTCCATGTCTTTAACAATGAGTTGGAGCTTGAACTCAAAAAAAGCTACCACCCTTCTTGGATCCAGCCCCGGCGTCTAAGCTACCCGTGATGACGGGTGGAAATTGAGTTTAGAGTGATGGATGCTAAATCATTGTATTGTTGGATGCGTATTTCCGCAGTCTGATGCATTTTTCCCGTTAAACCCTAGAACACGAAGGTACTGGCAAAAATAGTGCTGGGCCATACGTAAGTGAAAATTGTGTCGAAATCGAAAATTCCTTAAAGTCACAAACTCATTCCGGTAGGTGTGCCAACATGTGTATTTATATATTAGACTTGACAAGCATGGGCAAACACTGGACGAGACTTCCGGTGATTTTCCTTCGAACGTTGCCTATCTGGTGCTCCACTCTCTTTGTCTCCCAAAAGTTAAAAACGCGAGTAGCTCTAATTGTTCGTAATATTTACAAACTCCAGGGGTTCAAAAATTTCGCAATTTCCAAATTCAAATTCAGCATTGAATAATACATGAGAATACCATGACTCCAGAGTGTGGCATCCGACACTTAATTTTCACCCCTTTTTAGTGTAGTTTTGACTATCTTGAAAAAGGTAAAACTATCAACGGCGAGTATTATGCGAACTTATTGCAACGTTTGAGCGATGAAATCAAGCAAAAACGGCCGCATTTGGTTAAGACAATGCACCAGCTCACAAATCCGTTATTGCAATGACCAAAATTAACGAATTAAGGTTTGAATTGCTACCTCATGCACCCTATTCACCAGGTTTAGCCCCCTCGGTTTATTTTCTGTTTCCAAACTTGAAAAAATGGCTCAGTGATCAAAGATTCTCCAATGATGAAGAAGTGATGTCGGCAGTTAATGGCTATTTTGAGAAGCAAGACACTTCTTATTATAAAAAGGGTATCGAATTTATTGAACATCGCTGGGAAAAGTGTATAGAGCTTCAAAGGAGATTATGTTGGAAAATAAATACATTTTTTTACAAAAATTTTATGTTTTCTTCGTTGGGTCGGGTACTTCTAGGACCACCCTCGTATATTAGGGAATTTCTACTTCTACTTCAAGTACCTGATACCACTTACTATATCCTGTACTTTGTATATTCTTTCTATTAAAATACAAACGTTTATCTTTCATGGGCTTTGTGTTGCTTGCAAATGTTCGTTTTTGCTCCGTAGTTACGTATATATGTCAACTTCTTAGCTGAATTTATGGGGATAGCCAAACATGAGAAAATCCAAAGGGATTTTAAAACTTGACCTTCTACAGGAACAAGCGATAATGTGACAAATTTAAATCTTTATCGAACCAAAAAAACTCATTGAACCCTCTGCAGATCTCTTAAAGGTTTTGTTTTTATGTTCCTACCTATGTTATCTGAAATGACCATTAGTGCGCTGACCCTGTAACTGTCCTGGCAAAAGGTTATCTTTCTGGCTTAATTGTGAATTTTCGATCTCCCTTATGGTTAGTTTGTAATCAAATGAAATAACTTTAATTCTTCCTTCAATGATGTATCCCATGTGCTTTTTCACATGTCCTAGTGATCCTTGTCTTTACAGAGGTGCCGTGACGAATATTCTAAATGAGAAGAAGCAAGCTCCCATTCACTTAGCGACAGAGTTGAACAAGGTTTCAGTGCTTGAGGTGCTCAGCAAGCACAAGGATAAGATTGACATCCAGCTGGGCGGGGAGCATGGAAGAACTGCACTTCACATAGCCGCCATCTACGACCATGAACAGTGTGCTAGAATTCTGGTGAGTACGGTATTTCTGGCGACATAGATTCTTTGGATAGCTTTTTCAAATATTAAGTTGCTTTGTGTAGACAGTGGCACTTTGAACATAGTTTGTATATAGGTATTACACTGTTTTCTTAAGACAGATGCTGCAAGTTTTAGACTGCATACATAATACAAACAAACCTAGGCAGCTGTTTAAAATAATAGTGCTGAAAACGGATATCGAGATATCGATTTCTTGTACTTTGAGGTATCCAAAGCGTCAGTGAAATTCATTGGCAGTTTGCGCGATATCGTACATTATGGTCCAGTATAGTTACATTTTCTTATAACTGTGCATTATTCCTTGTGGACTGAGAAACTAGTTTTCCAATCGTGTAAGCTCTCCGCTTAAAAATATGTTGAAAGACTGGCCAGTCGGCTTCGGCACGTGTTAAAGATGAAGTGGTTTCCGGTAAAAATGATTGTTCGAAAACTTTTCAATCGTTAATAAGTCTCCAAATTTCTTGAAAAAAGCAGCTATGGTTTTATCAACAATTCATAAATAATTTTATAATAAAGGAACTTTCTTCCTAAGCTAACCTCAACAATCCAGCTTTTTGCTCATTGACTATGTAGTCTTATCTACCTCGTTCTAAGAACAATTTCAGCAACAATCTCGCCGACTTACTCCCGATGATGATGCCTTCATCCAAGAGAATTTCAAGGATATATATATATATATAAAATAACAAAAAGTAGGAAAATATGTGCATTCATTTCTGGCATCATGAAGCCAACCAGCAGAAATACGTATCCCTCGGTATTACCTATTCTATTTTCTGATCGAATCCATTTTCCTCCGCAAGTGGCTATAACCGGTCGCGTGGTTATGGTCAGATGTCTCCTTGAAAATTCGAGGTCTTCTAGACATTTTATACTACAGTGTATAGGTTGGCTCTTGTTGTGGACTTCGTGTGTCGTTTTTTTCCCTCTCCATCTTCGTTTCCTCACGTTACACCCGTATCCGGATGTGTGAGCATGTGTATCTACTTTTGTAGTGTCCTATGTGCGTTCATTTCGGGCCTGATGGAGCCAACTAGCAGAAATACGTATCGGTCGGGTAACCTATCCTACTTTCCTATGCTCAAATCGACTTTCCTCCTTTTTGTGGATTTTGCAAATTATTTTCCTACTTTATATACAAGTTATGTACCAGTCTATAGCGAAGAATATGCTGAACCAGGACTTTTGCCTCCACGTTCCTTTCTTATCAGTTACAGTATTGTATTTCATTTGTTCTTTACTTTGGTTTGTATAATGAACTTTGCAGTCAGTCTCGATTCAGAACTCATTCAATTAACATCATTGTATTTGGTTTTTCTCAAAAATAAATCTTTTTAAAAACGTTTTCGTTGAAGAAAGATATTTGAGTGGCGCAGCAAGCAGTAGGATAGCCAGACGAAAAAAGGACATTTTCGGTTCGTTTCAACGGTTTACTGGCTATAACGAAACCAACCGCGATTGGTCGCGAACGATCCGACGAGAAACCAAGACGACAGCAGCCCAGAGGACAGAAGGAACATCTGCTCCAGGACAGGCAACCCAGCAGTGAGCAAGAGCTGTTTGATGATACATTGAGTGACACTGATTCGGACTCACAGTCGGATACGGAACATATCCAACATAGTTTAAGGAAATTGCAATTAAGACCTAGTATACTAAATAGTACAGTCAATATGAACAACAGTCAAGTAAATCAATCAAGCATGTCAGAGTATCTTAACATGATACCCGAATTTTATGGTCAACAAGAATTATTACCAAGATTCATAGATATTTGCGAAAAGTTAGTGAATAAATTTTATAGATTAGAGGATGAAAATGACTTCCAGAACGAATAACTTATGAGTAGTATTTTAGCGAAAATCAAAGGTAATGCAGCTTTAAATATTAGTAGCAATATTATAAAAAATTGGACAGACTTGAAAACTGCACTTTTAAATACATATCAAGACAAGCGTGACGTATTTACTCTAAATATAGAAATGTGTGAATTAAAACAGAACAATGAAACCCCCTTTGAATTTTATAACAAAGTTCAGAGTTTATTGAATTTACAAATATCATTTTTAACTACACATTGTGTGAGTGAAGAAGCTCAGATAATATGTAATTTTTGCAAAAGCGTAGCATTAAGAGTATTTCTAAAAGGTTTAAAGGAACCTCTAGGATCGCTCATGAGGACGAAAAATCCTACAGACTTGAATGAAGCTCTGAATATATTAACTAACGACTGTCAGCTTGATCATAAGGTAGATAAACATAAAAATGTTAATCGAAATAATATGCAATTAGTTCGCCATATGAACAACAACTTTGGTAATTATAGAAATCAATACCAAGCGGTACAGCGTCCAGTATTACAAAGACAATTTAGTCCTAATAATGTACGACCAAATAATCCTAATCAGAATAGAATGAATTTTCACAATAATAACGTCTTTAGACCTAATCAGATCAATAATCTGCCAAGGCCTACTCCGATGAGTACATCCACTAGACAGACGTATCAGCAACCAAATTTTCAAGGTAGAAATTTTAATAGACCTGGTGTAAACGCAGAACAGGCTATGTTTAACTTGTGTGTACAAGACCAACCTGTTGTAGAATTTCCAAACGATGACAATTATGAATGCGCTTATTCTCAGAATAATTCTGACGATTTTTTAGGGCAAGAAGCCTCGGTACAGATACAACCACAAGTCTCAACGGACCACCAAAGTCAATTGAAATTATGAGTTTAACCGACAAATGTAGCAAACTACCATACATTGTATTTCCGGAGTATAATCTCAAAGTATTGATTGACACTGGAAGTACAAAATCTTTCATACACCCTGGAATTGCGAAAAAATTATTTTCAAGACATATTCAAAAAGATCCATTTCAAATCACTTCAGCACATGGTGCATCTATCGAACAATATAGTATGACAATACCGTGTCCAAAGATTTTTAAGAATCCAAATATTCTCATGAAATTTCATTTATTCAAGTTTCACGAACATTTCCAATGCCTTTTAGGACTCGATAACCTGAAAGAGATATTGAATGCCAACATTTATTTGAGCAATGATCTTTTAGTCACACCCACAACAAGGATACCCATGCAATATCACGAGATTACAAAAAACTCTTCTAATGTTATCACTGTTCCACCTAGAACAGAACAGATAATTAAGGTTAACATAAAAAATTTAAAAAATGGTAATGCTATTATTCCATACAGAAAATTATCATGTTTAGAAATCCCTGATGTCTTACTACAGTGAAAAATCACGAAGCAATTTGCACAGTATTAAATTTATCTGAAGAACAGATTTCTCGACCAATAGATGTAGAAAATTTTGAAAATTAGGAATTTTCAGAAAATTCAGATCCACCGAATATTAATTCTTTAAACTTTCAAAAATATAAATTTGATATTTCCAAAATTAGGACAGAGCATATATGAACTCTGAAGAAAAAGACGCAATCACCAAGTTAGTAAGAGAGTATTCAGACATATTTCACATTGATGGTAATTACTTAACTTTTACGAGCAAAATTAAGCATCATATACGTACAAGCGATGAAATACCCATTTACACTAAATCATACACATATCCTGAAATCCACCGAAAAGAGGTACCAAGACAAATACAATCAATGCTTGATCAAAAAATTATTAGAGAGAGCCATTGAGCGTGGTGCTCACCTATATGGATTGTTCCAAAAAAATTAGACGCATCAGGAAAGCAAAAATGGAGAATAGTCATTGACTATAGAAAATTGAATGAAAAAACATTGAGAGATCGTTATCCTCTTCCAAACATAACAGATTTGTTAGATAAATTAGGGCGATGCCAATATTTTTCAACATTAGACTTAGCTTCAGGTTTTCACCAAATAGAAATGACAGAAGATGATATTCAAAAAACTGCATCCAATACAGAAAATGGACACTATGAGTTTACAAGAATGCCATTTGGACTAAAAAACGCGCCAGCGACTTTCCAGCGAGTAATGGATAACATACTGAGAGGTATTCAAAATGAAAAATGCTTAGTATGTTTAGATGACATTATAATATTCAGTACTAGTTTACAGGAACATATTTCTCGACTTAGAGAAGGTTTTGAAAGGTTACGTCAGTCAAATTTTAAAATACAGTTAGACAAATCGGAATTTCTTACAAAAGAAGTATCGTATTTAGGTCATGTTGTAACGGCGGATGGTGTGAAACCAAACCCAGATAAGATAAAGGTAATCACAGAATTTAAAATACCAAAAACTAAGAAGCAAATTAAAGGCTTCCTTGGACTTTTAGGTTATTACCGTAAGTTTATAAAAGATTTTGCGAAAATCACTAAGCCATTGACAATCAGATTGAAAAAAGATGCAATTATTAATCCCAATGACGCAGATTATATTAAATGTTTCGAATTATGCAACACTTTATTGACAAACGACCCGATACTCCAATATCCGGATTTTTCCAAACCATTCTTGATAACTACAGATGCGAGTAATTATGCAATCGGCGCAATATTATCCCAAGGTAAATTAGGCTCAGATTTACCAATAGCGTATGCCTCACGAACATTAAGTGATTCAGAAACAAAGTATATATAGCACGACAGAAAAAGAACTTCTAAGTATCGTATATGCAGTAAAATATTTCAGACCTTATATTTTCGGACGTAAGTTTACTATTGTAACAGATCACAAAAGCCTCCAATGGTTATTTTCAGTTAGAAATGCTAGTTCAAAATTATTAAGATGGCGCTTAAGATTAGAAGAACATGATTTTGACATTGTTTACAGGAAAGGCAAATCAAACACAAATGCGGACTTTTTATCTAGAATAGAAGTAAATGTTAATGAAACAGGAGCACCGACTCCACTGGCACAATATATGAAAGAATTTAATAGAAATCTTGAAAATCAAGCAGGTCCATCGAATATTTCCAATATTCCCAATCAGACCGATAAC